GACACCAAAAGTAAAATGGAAAATTATAAACAAAACTGGAGCTTGTAAAGCTTGGGATGACCCATGCCCTTTGTGCCTACATGAAAAACTACACATTATTAAGTTTCTAAATAATAAAAATCTATTAAACAATAGACGTGTGTTAACGGTTTTTTGCCGACATCATCAAATTTTTGCATTGAATAATTAGCATAAAAACAAACAAACAATAAAATAATTTTTAAAATCCATAGTCCTAATAAATAGTTTAAATGCGCTACAAAAAAAGACAACCCTTTATGAAGTCGTCAAAAAACAAATGTTAGCGACTTACGGCAGTTTTTATATACACAAAACCCTTTCAGAAAAAAATGAAATAAAAAAATAAATAAATCTCCATAGACAATTAAACTAGACTAGGCGAAATCATCTTCCGCTTTAAATTTAGACACCTCAACCTTACCCTGACTTAACATCTGTGAATGTAACTCAGATATTGATACAAATTATTAACACCTTACGTCCCTTTTCTTTAAACAATTTCTCTAGCTGTTACTATAGAAATTTTGATTTCAATAATGAATATACTTATAAAACACCTAAATTTCAGAAAAAAGTTATTCCAAAAAAATTTTCGCTTGAAGATGGAACAGAGCTTAGTACTTTAATTCAGTTTAATTCAAATAATCATATTGAATTTTTCGGCTCTTGTTTTGAAACATGAGAACTCTTATGTAGCGTGTTGGAATCATATTTTTAAATAAATAATTATATTTATGCTCTACTTTTGTATGGAGCACTATTTTTTAAAATAATAACAAAAATACTAAAGAACTTTGGATTATTTACCTAACGAGTTCTTTCCTATTTTCTATACATTTTTCATATATATATATATATATATATATATACTGTAATTCCACGCTTAGTGCGGCTAATGTCTCTATTAAAAGATACGCTAATGTATACATTAAATACTGCGCACTAAACTAAAATGTATTAAACATAATAACTAAAAGTGAAATGATGTAATTTGTTGCTCAACTTTTATTCTCATTTAGAATTAATTTCTAATTTGCATATTTTTTAATTAAAATATAAGTACATGTTAAAAGATACAATAAAATTTTGTTCATTTGGGATGGCAGTGGGGCTGATGCAAAACGATTTTAACCTGTTCTGTTTCTAAACGAATTACTCAAAGTGTTTACAGTAATTCTTACGAAAAATGATACTAAGATTGCTAAACGCTTTATCTAAAAACCTGAAAAAGAGAAACTCAAATACTTTAGTATTATTTATATATTTAACCGTTGGCGTTTTGGCACTGTAGTTTGGACACCGACTGAATTAGCGCCAGACACGGGCGCCAGAATTTTAGACGCTCGGAAAAAATGTTGATTAATTGATTATCATTCAATGGCAGAACGTTTAAAAAAGGTTCAAAACTGTAAATTTATTGAAAACTAAAAACATTAAATGTGTTAATCAGTAAAAAAAAAGCAATTTAGCTCTATTTATTTACACTATTTACATTGTTTAGGCAGTTGTCCTTATCTTTATTGTTATATTCACAACGCTTCGGCCGTTGTACACTACGGCCTTCCTCAGGCTCTGTCTATATATCTGAGATGAGGTATTGTAATTATTTACATTATTTACATTGGTCAGACCGTTATCCTCACCTTTATTGTCATATTCATCACGTTTCAGCCTTTGTACACTACGGCATTCTTGAGGATCTGTCTTTGTTTCTGAGATTATGTATTGCAACCATTTACACTATTTACATTATCAGACTGTTGTCCTCATCTGTATTGTCATTATCACGACGTTTCGACCGTTGTACGCTCCGGTCTACTTCAGTATCTCTCTATATTTTTGATGTGATTTATTGTAACCACTTACATTATTTATATTATTCAGACTATTGTCTCCAGCTTTATTTCCATTACCACGGCATTTTGGCCGTTGGATGTTCTGGCTTTCTTTAGGATCTGTCAATATTTCTGAGATCAGGTATTTTAATCATTTTACGTTGTTCGGACTTTTATCCTCATCTTCATTTCCATATACACAACGTTTAAGTCGTTGTATGCTCCAGACTTCTTCAGGTGATAGGAGTTTCGAACCGTATTCTTTATTTCGTCCACCAGGATATATTGTTCTAGTGGATAAAGACGTTGGTTAGATCCAGTGACTAGCCCTAAAGAGTTGTGGGTTCAATACCAGGCTAGAGCAGTAGTGACCAAAAAAACTTGGAGAGCTGAGGGAAACTATGTAAGACATCGAGAAGAGGCATGGCACATGGAACTAGAATAATCTACCCCGGTCGACGAAATCAGTGATTCGGTTCGAAATTCCAATCAGAAGGTCGGAGCGTACAACGGCCGAAATGTTTTGAATGTGGCAATGAAGATGAGGATAACAGGCCGAATAATGTAAATAATGCAAGCTTCCTTTTTATGCCTTTCTCATTATTTTGTATTCACGCAAACAGTCTGTCAAAATGCGATAAGAATCTCTTACCCACTCACAGGAAATTCTGTCCTCCGATAAAAAAATATTCTTGTATATATAACAGACAGAATAAAACATAGATTTATAATAAAAAAATTAAAAAAAAAAAACTTTTAGAATACGAGAAGCACACCCGCAAAATACGAAGACCCGTACTTAACACCAGTTTTTTGAATGAAGCCAATGTTATCATGTATGTGTTTTGAAATTAAGCGAAATCTACGCGAATAATGAACTTACTCGTACTGATATAATAAACACCGTATCGGAAACAATACACAAATATATTAAGAACGAAAAGTATCATGCCAATACGTGAGCTATGGAAGAAAGATATATTATCCAAGTTTACCCTCAGTATTATTGTATCCATGAAAAAACACCTTAATACTCGCACGGAAAGGAATAGGTGAGTAAAAAAGTATTTTATTCTCAGAGAGATTTTTATATCACAAATTCATACACAGAGGCACGGTGGAGTAATGGATAGCGAATGGGAAATATATATATATATATATATATATATATATATATATATATATATATATATATATATATGCACTACAAAATAGCCATTTTGTTTCAACACACTTATCAAGTGATGGTGTTGAAAGAAAAAGCACTCTTTAAGAATAGTAATTGTTGGTTATTGGAATAGTAATTGTTATTTAAGAATAGTAATTGTTGGTTATTGGAATTCATTCCGTGTATACCAATTATATACTTTTGATATTAGCTCCTATTACTGTCGAGCCCCTGTCTGTTCTATTCTTATGCTCTACTTTGTATTGAGCACTCTTTAAGAATAGTAATTGTTAAGGTTGGAATTCATATACCAATTATATATATATATATATATATATATATATATATATATATATATATATATATATATATATATTATATGCCTATTTTTGTTTATATATATATATATATATATATATATATATATATATATATATGGTTTGTTTTTTGACGGCATATCAACCCCAATGGGTTGTTTAATGCCGACAAATTTTTCATGGTAATATTTTGTTTTGTCAAAAATCTATTTCTGGTACTATTTTTTTTTACCTCAAAAATGTATAGCTGGTAATATTATTTTTAAAAAATGTATTGCTGTAATGTTTTTTTTTTTTTTGGGGGATTTTTCGTTTAGCTATTTTTCAAAAATATATATTGCTGGTAATTTCCCCTGAAAAATGTATTTCTGGTAATAATTTTTTACAAATTATTTCTGGTATTAAACCTATTTTTACACTTTCATAAGGCTTTTTACTTCAGTTTCAGGGTTAACTATTTGCCCATAGGTGGGACCCTAACAGGTGCTACCACTCCGGGTCAAGGTGGACCTGGGAAGATCAGCAATTAAGAGATGGTTCAATGGTCCTCAAAATCTCCTGATAGAGGCCTTGCTGTTGGATGTAGTTTATTGTCTTACCCTGGACACGGATGTAGTTTATTGTCATACCCAGGACGGCACACACACACACACACACACACACACACACACACACACACATATATATATATATATATATATATATATATATATATATATATATATATATATATATATAAGAACAAAATAAAACACACACTTAACAGACACAACTAAAACTGTCAAAATGGCAAAGGGAATTCAGAGCAGGATAAATCCACCCAGACATTCACTTCTGTAGTTCACTGCTACTAGCAAGCAGATTTTTTTCTCCTGATGATCGCCACACGTTGGCCGAAACTAATCGAGGAATCTAACTGAAATAATAAAACTAAAGAATAAAATCCTGCTTGTCTGAAGATTTTAATTTTTAATAGTCTCTTGTTCAAACACACATTATATATATATATATATATATATATATATATATATATATATATATATATATAATAAAAAAACACTTTTCAAGACAATACAAATGTCCGCGACGTTGACATTTTCCCCGATCGTTCCATCGATATGTTTTTTTTAAGCTGTTGCCGAAAACAAGGCCTGGGGTATGTCGGGTGACTTCCAAAGTAAGGGTTGTTAGATAGGCAAAGGAAAAACTACCAGTACATCAGAGTACCAATAATGTCGAATGTTATGATGAAGATGCGGTTAAAAGCCAAAAGTTAGCATCATCAACCTTTTCCCGATTTCCCCCACACCGACCAAACCATTTCACCTCTGTTTCCCCAGGGGAATGTTTTCTTTTTCTTACGAGACATATGACCACCCCGGATGAAGAAACAACGCCAGTTTCTATTGAAAAGGTCGTTTTCTTTCTTAGAATACAGGTAAGGGTAGAGGATAGGTCCTGAGTGGAATTTTTCGTTGAGCTGTTTTCTTTGCGGGTTTGTAGTCTGTGTGTTTGTGTAGGTGTGTAGACATGATATAAAGGACATATTCAATGACGTTTTTTTTTTCTCTTTCCTTCATTTCATGTTCTTGTTATTTGCTTCTTTCTTGGATTTTATATATTTATTCTTTTCATTTTATATACTCATTCTTTGTTTAGTTATTCATTTTTTTTCTTCAAATCCTGTTATTCTTTCTTTTTCTACTCCTTTCTTTCTGCCATTAGTATATCTATCCTTTCTTTTCATTATTACATGACTCTTTCCTTCCTTTCTTCCTTCCTTCCTTCCTTCCTTTTTCTTTTCTTCTTTCTTTCTTTCTTTCTTTCTGCCATTAGTATATCTATTTTTTCTTTTCATTATTACATGTCTCTTTCTTTCCTTCCTTCCTTTCTTCCTTCCTTCCTTCCTTCCTTCCTTTTTCTTTTCTTCTTTCTTTCTTTCTTTCTTTCTTTCTTTCTTTCTTTCTTTCTGCCATTAGTATATATATCCTTTCTTTTCATTATTACATGTCTCTTTCCTTCCTTCCTTCCTTCCTTCCTTCTTTCCTCTTTTCTTCTTTCTTTCTTTCTTTCTTTCTTTCTGCCATTAGTATATATATCCTTTCATTTCACTATTACATATTTTTCTTTGCTCGTTAGTTTTTTCTTCCTGTCATTAGTATATCTCTCTTTTCTTTTCACTATTACAGGTTCTTTCTTTCCTTCCTTCCTTCCTTCCTTCCTTCCTTCCTTCCTTCCTTCGTTAGTATATCTATCCTTTGTTTTTACTATTACATATTTCTTTCTTTTCTTCATTATTTATTTTTTTTTTTGCGTTCATGAGTGTATATCCTTTTTTTTCACTATTACAAATATCCTTCTTTGTTTTATATTTCTTTCTCATTTCTTCCTATTTTTCTTTTATTCTTTCTTTCTATCATTTATATAGCCTCCTATCACTATTAAATATTTCTTCCTTTCTTTCTTTCTTTCTTTCATTGGTATATCTGACCTTTCTTTTCACTATTGCATTTTTCTTTCTTTCTCATATATTTCCTTTTTTCATTATTACATATTTCTTTGTTTATTTGCTTTTCTTTTGTTTTCTTTCTTTAATATATACCTCCTTTTACACTATTACTTCTTTCTTTCTTTCTCCATGCTGTCTTTTGAATATTGCTTTCTTTCTTTTCGCTAATCACCTCTGTTTGCTATTTGTCTGTCATTCCTTCTTTCACAAAGATCGAAGTAGCTCCGCTTTAAACAATAAAAGGATCCGTTTCCACTGGAGATATATATATGTCTATTTTACACAAGGTTAAATAGAAAACTATTATACGTCCGGTTTATAGCAGATCAAAAAATGATATCTATGTCCGGTTTATACGACAGGAATCAAAATTGTTCAAGTTTCCCAGGTGTGACATCTATAATTTCTTATTATTCATGTTATCATACAAAAATCCTTTTAGGTTTTGGCAAAGGAAAGTTAACAAGTTGATTGTTTTATTGTCTGATATTATTTTACAATTTTAAAAAAGCCGACACTGCTTTCACCATAGCTCTTGATTTCTTCTCATATGAAGTGTATAACTTTTTGGCCACCTCTTCGCTTAAAATTCTGCCATGAAGGCGACACTTGAGTATGAGATATATGCCACATCACTCTTCGGGCATCTTCGAGATAGCTAGCAAGCTTATCTCGCTCGAACAATTACGACTGAGTAGTGAGTTCGGTCATCATTGGGTGCCCCTTAATTTCGGCCTTGTGCCACATCACAGCTACGCTTGGAAAATCACTATGGGGCACTCTGAGGCGGTGTAATGGTTAGCAAGCTTGGCTCGTTAGAACAATTACGACTGAGTAGTGAGTTCGATCCTCACTGGGTGCCCCATACTTTCGGCTTTGTGCCACATCTAAGCTACGCTTGGAAAATCACTATGCCACATAAGTCTCCATTATGAGTCATATCGCAAAGTCAGTAGGATTAATATCGGAGCCACATGAAGGCCAAATTAATTTGTCAAAAATCTACGTAAATATCTTATGCACCAGATTTGCGTCAAATTGGTCGTGAATGGGGAATATTAGTATTGACTGAAGAAAATACCAACTTCCAAATATGGCTGACAATCAGAGCAACAAATACTGTTGAACTTTGTTATTCACTTTCACGAATAATGAACACCAAGGGTGATTTCTAACCGCCAGTAACCACTGCAAACCAAAATATAATACCATTTGGGTTCTATCGCTTGAAATGTGTTCAGCTCTGTCGATGTCGTAGTTCACCACAACCATCAGAGGAAAGTAGATCTCGTCCAACCAAACATACAATTTTTTGAGAATTTGAATCTGCTGCAACATGTTCTTCCCGATGCCAAGTCACATTTCTTGAAGGCAATTTAGAACAGGGTGAGGGTTAGGGAATTTAGAGCAGCTGTCGGCGTTGAATTTTGTATGGTTTTAGCACTAAACCTTTTGAAACTTTCAAAAACTTCCTTAGCCTCTTGTCCGGAAATATTCAGCGACCGATGCGAAATATTCAACTCTTTTCCCATCTCATTCATACCTCTTCATGGAATTGTCTTCATTCTCTTCTTGGAGGCTTCAATGATTCTTCTGGTAAGAACTGAAGCGTTATTTTCTCAGGAATTGGGCGGGGACACTAAAATCAAACAGGTGTGGACATTTAAGTATCTGGGGACTGTTTTCACAGAGCATAGTAAGTGCGACACTGAGATCCGAAGACGTGTTGGGATGGCCAAGGACGCATTCCAAAAGCTGGGCAGAGTATTATAAGACAGGAGGATTTCGTTGGTAACACAGAAATGACTACAGAGCTGTTACGTGATATCTGCCCTCCTTTACGGCAGCGAAAATTGGATGATTTCCTCAAAGAAGAAAAAGAGACTCGAAGTGACGAAGACATGGTTCTACAGAAGGATGGACGGAGCGTGTGAGCAACGATGAGTTCTTCGAGAGGATTCAAACAAGAAGGACGCTTATACTTAATATCAGGAAGAGCCAGCTGAAGTCTCTGAGACACGTAATGAGAAAGAAAGGCCTGAAGAATCTGATACTCACAGGACGAATAGAGACAAAGAGAGACAAGGGAAAGCAACGTATGACATACTTGGCTTGATTAGTAACTGGGTGACAGAATGTGGTTTGGTGGAGGTGGCAGAGAGACGAAACTTATTGTGAGCTACAAGAGATAGGGGGAAGTGGAGAGTCATAATCGCCTACGTCCTGAAAGACACAGCAAATAAAAAAAATAAAAAGGACGTTGTTTGCTCATCTTGAAACTTTTCCACACATTAAAGAGATTATTTTCTGAAAACATTTACTGTTTTATCAGTTCAAAATTATTTATATATACAAACCATTTTCTATATAGTAATTTAATCAGATTTTATTTAAGTCATCACATTTAATTACACTCTGAACAATAAAACAAAATTATGTTAAGAAGCCTTATGCAAAATTTCAAATCATTTTTAAGAATAGGTATTATATTTCGGAATTTACAATTCCTGATATGATAGGTCTCATTGTTGTGTTCAGTTCATATGTTTTTTGGCAATCCGTATAATGTGGGTGTTTTTGGATGGTACTAAGATCCAGGAAAAGTAATGAATTTTGTGTTTCAAGCTTTGTATTCATTTATTTTCTAGATGTTATCATCGTTAATTAGCCTCTCATCTTCTGTTGGTAAATGTGAACAGACGAATTAGTCCATCAAACAAAAAACTGATGAGTTAAAAATTAAAAATTTTAATTTAATTCAAATAATGGGTAAATATATATGACAGAAATTATATATATATAAGGATCAATTTACATTCATAACGGATTCGGAGGTTTTTGCATATTATTTGAATTGTTTCCGTTATTAATGATGATATAAGATGTCTCAGACGAAAGTTTGTATTTTTAAATTTAAAGAAATTTTATTAACCTTTGGATAAAGAGGTTTTTGTATTATTTGTTTTTGTGATGAATAAAATTCATGTATATATATATATATATATATATATATATATATATATATATCCCAGAAAGACGAGCCATTTATTAGGTGTATTTATCCCCTGCAAGTATGTATTCTAAGCGATGGCATCATTGAATAATTTTTTACCGGTTTCGAATCAATAATGAATCAATAACAATGTGTAACACCTATCCTGACCCCACTAGATCGATATACAAGACCGGCGGTTGGTCCTGCCCTGGCTCTGTTTTACAGTTTCAAAGTCTCCGGTTCACAATGTCAATTCGATTCCACTTTCCAACCACGTTGTGATATTTTTGATCCTGGAGAGCAATTAACAAATCGGAGATGCCGGAAGATTCAGCTGGTCTACTTGCAAGTTCGTTGAGGTGAGAATCGGGCAAAGCAGAAAAATCAAATATGAACAAGTCGATTCGAGTCCAAGGAAAAATTTATATATATGTATATAAGGAAGCAATTGGTACAAAAAGAATAATTCTTCTTTTACAAGAAAGTAGTGTATATGAAAAAAAGTTCAGAAAAAAAAATATTGCATATAATTCTGAATTGAGAGCAGTTTTCGGGTTCAACCTTTTTGTTCTTAGTAGTTGCCGTAATTATTTCACTATCAGGATATAAGGAGGTTCACTGGCAGTATTGCGCCAATATTGCAAATAACTTGAGTTCACTTCCTCCCTTATTACTGCAGCAAGCGGACGCTTTCACTCTCACTGCCTCTTTCTCTCTCTCTCTCTCTCTCTCTCTCTCTTTCTCTCTCTTGGTCGAATTTTGTCAACTACTTCACCCAGCTCCAATTCCAACTTCAACTTCAACTTTTTGGTTTCGCACAAACACGTGCATAAATAACCGCGGTGGTAGCGACAAAACCTCGGGGTGTTTGTAAACTTAGAATACAACCTGATTACTGACCTCACCCCTTTCATGATTAAATGAACAGTCTCTTCTTCTCAATTGGTAATTCCATAGTTCATATAAACACTATTCTTTTGACATTTTATATTAATAATTCTGGCGACGCACAGATTCTCTAGACATAAACTTTACCACAGATTATTTTTCTCATCTATAAACAAAATTCTATATTACTATAATTATTAATATTTAAAGGAAGACCATTGCTCTCTGCCACAGATGAAGACATTAGAAATTATGAAAGTAAAAAAGAAAAGCTGGGGATGTTTTTTAGATTTTTGAAGTAGTAATGGAAGTTATGACGCTGAGGTAATTACCCACCCTCAAGAAAGTAGGGCGTAAAACAATGTTGTTTTCAATATGGGGTGGCCATATGCGTAGATAAGGGCAAATTACAAGATTTGTCTTGTCCCCGAGAAAACTGTCACGCTGGCGTTTGAATCCAGAAACTCTCCCTCTTTAATGAAATAGGGGAGGCGCTGCCGGGGTGTTAAAATCCCTGGGATCAGGCATCTCTCAGATTTTTGTCCAAAAAGTGTCCGAAGACACTGTTGAAAGGTAAAGACCAGGTTCTACATTTGGTATTTACACGTTCCCCAACGGTGACGGAATATAGCACACTGCCGGTTTAAATTGGGCAGCCCGAGCGCGTGTATATGGGATAAGGCCGAATATTAACCGCTTTCCCGCAACGACCATCACGCTGGCGTCGATTCTCCGTCCCTCCGTTTTCGGTGCAATGAATAAAGAGCTGCCGCAGGGTTGGAATTCTTGACACCAGTCATTCCTTATTTATTAATTGTGTTCCGTCCGAAGACGGAAACACAATCAAAAGATAAAATGTAGTTTGTCCGCCCGAAGGAAGAATACTTCCCGCCCAATGCTGACAGTTTAATACGGAGCTCAAGCGCATACACACCAGGGCAAGGTTAAAAAATATCCCCCCCACAACTCTATGTAGCGCTGGCATCAACATTACTACCAATCCCCGTATTGAGTGACAGGTACTGCCCCTGGCAGCAGTTCCTCGGAACCGGCCACCCCTCAATAATTTTTCAATTGCACTCTGCTCGAAAATACACAACTGACAGAAACGGAACTGAGAGAAAAAATGTAATTTGTCCGCCTAAAGGCAGATACTACATTTTGATCCTCACCTCTCCAAAGTGGCAAGAGGTGCCACAAGGTTGTAATTAACGTGGGATTGACGTTGTCCAATCCAAAAAGTATGCAGCCATTGTTTCGATGACGTTAACATTCCGCCGGAAATCCCTCTTTTACATCAAAGAGGAAAGTTTCTCTCGTAGGACTGACCCAAAGTGAGTCACCACTCAATTTTTTTTTCTGTAAAATGAAAAGTCCAGAAATATGATAAAGAGGAAAGGTGAAACACAGATACTTCACTTTGATCCCAAACTGAACACCGTGTAAAGGAGCAGTGAATGACGACGCAAGGTTACACTCTATAAGAAGCTTTGAGTAATATCAAGAAGAAGAAGAAGAATGGCGGACTCTGCAGTCAAAAAAGCAGCCGATTAGAGAGCGGTTTGATTATGAAATAAAAGCGGAACTCATAGGCAGAGAAGTGAGAAAAAATTAATGGCAAAAGAAAAAATTCAATACAGAAGGTTACAAAGAAGAAGAAGAAGAAGAAGAAGAAGAACAAGAAGGAGGAGGAGAAGAAGAAGAAGAAGAAGAAGAAGAGTGGACGAGAGGCAGCAGAAGAGAACAAAAAATATAATGGAAAAAAAGAAGAAAAAGGAAAGAAGAGGAAAATGAAAAAGAAATAGATGGCAGTAATTAGACAGAGATTAACTTCTGAATTGAAAGAAGAATAAAGAATAGTTGAAAGAGAAAAATAATTGACGATAAAAAGCTTAATTATGGAAAGGAATTAAGAAGGATACAAAAAAGATAAAAGCATTGATAAAGGGTGAGAAAGGAAGAAAGAAAGAAAGAAAGAAAGAAAGAAAGAAAAGAACTAATATATCAGCCGACGAATGAAAATAAATGAAATAAAAGAGAATGAATGAAAGAAAGAACGAATAAAAACCAAAGAAAGAAAGAAATGAAAGAAAAAAATGAAAATAAAAAGACAATGTATAAATATGCAAAAATATGAAAGGAAACTAGGAAAGCAAGAAAGAAAGAAGAAATAAAGAAAATAAATAAACAGAGAATAAACGAACCAACCAAATTACGAAAGAATCATGGAAGCATTGAAGAAATAAAGAATGGGTGAATGAAAAAAAGACAGAAAGAAAGAAAAATAAAAAGACAAAAAATGGACGAACGAACGACAAAAAGAAAGATAGATAGAAAGAAAAATGTATATAAAGCAAATGCATAAGCAAGCGAAATTATGAAAGAATCCTGGAAGCATTTAAGAAAGAAAGAAATTAAAGAAAGAAAGAAAGAAAGAAAGAAAGAAAGAAAGAAGTATAATAATAAGAAAAGCCAGGTAATGTGTATATATCAGGGAAGAACATGTGGTCAACAGAGCTTTCCTCCAAGCATTAGCCAATATCTTTATTACATTAAAGAGAGGAGTGAAATGTTATTTTATCGAGCCTCTATAAATAAGGACTTATTTTTGCAGGTGGATGGGAAAAGAGAAGTCTGAGACAATGGTTAGCTCAATAAATGGTCAAAGCAGGAACCGACTTGTAGAGAAATATTGACATTTCTAATCATTTATTCATGCCAGAACACGAAAGTATCGAAAAGTATTGGGGCATTAATTCTCCTATCAACATTGTTCCCCTTTCTGGATGTTCTTCTCACAAAGACTTAATTTGAATTTTATTTCATCGGTGTACCGGAAGCCAATATTTTCCGATTTATATACACGATAGGGAGTCTGTTTGTCCCCCAAAGTATAAGATGAACCTGGTCAGAAACTTTTGATCTCTGTTCTCCTAATACGTTAAAGGAATAACTGAAATTAAATATATTTTCTGATCTTAAATGCCATTTGGATATTTTGGCCTCAAGAGTAAGCACGAAGATCTTGCAGACAAAAACGTATTGACCTTGGACAATTTCCTGCCAGTTTAAAACTGTCCTGGATTGGCGTGATTTTTGCTAAGCAAATTTCAGCCAATGTTTTTTGAATATCTGCTATTATTGACGGTTGTGTAAAGATCTCGGAACGTGCAAGACGCAACGCTAAGTTTTAAAATTTTGAAAAACTTAGCGTTGCGTCTTTGCACGTTCCGAGATCTTACACAACCGTCAATAATAGTAGATATTCAAAAAATCTTTCGGTCGACATACAGGTATATCGTCTCAAGTTTTTGATTTTATAAGAAAAAAAACACATGCCTGATGATGAATAGAAGACTATTCGTAAGTACTAGCATTTTAACATCAAATAAACAGAAAACTACAGACAACAAGTTTATCGACGAGGATCAAACTCGCACTATGGATGAACAGGATTTTTAATGCATATATTATGTTTTCTAGCGATGGATGTCGCCAATAATCGCATTAATACTTGATTGATTCTATGTGATTATTTCTTTGTATGTAAATCATATGCTGCCTAATATAATATATATATATATATATATATATATATATATATATATATATATATATATATATATATAATATAATATATGGATATAGATCCGAAAGTATGAAGAAAAATATACAGAAAAAACAAACAAAAATCTTAATATGCAATTATGCTGTATTAATGTTAATATAAAGTCAACGTCGGACGTTTCGTTCTATTTTAGACCATCTTCAGGACATTTTCATTTAAACATAATTAACATTAAAACATATAAAAATTCAACACAAAAGACGATGGACATAAGAGCACAACTAATCCAAATGAAAGATGGTCTAAAATAGACCGAAACGTCCGACGTTGACTTTATATTAACATTAATACAGCATAATTGCATATTGAGATTTTTGTTTTTTTTTCTGTATATTTTTTCTTATATATATATATATATATATATATATATATATATATTCTGGCTTGAAATCTACGTATTTTAAATATGTTTGCATTTGTACGCTATTTTTATTATTATTATTATTATTATTATTATGATTATTATTATTATCATTTCCTTTGATTTCTGATGTGCACTCATTTCTTTCCGGGTCCCCCCCCCTAGGACCTAAGGTAAGAAATGGCATCATGACATTTCCACTGGAAGAAAAAAAATTACATAGACAAAGACCTTCCTAAGGAGTGGGCTGTACTCGTGAGAATAATGTTTTTTTTTTTTTTTATATTTCGTTACTACATAGGCTTCCAGGAATCACTTCAATGAGTCTACTGGAATCTTTTCCAACCAATCTGAGGGCTCCAACTACAACAGGATTGTTGATGTTCCCATGTGTCACATTTTTGAGATTTCGATTTCAAGGTCTTTGTATTTTGATAGCTTTTTGAATATATCCAAAGATACATTGCAGTCTGCAGGGACTGTCATATCAATAAGGAGACTTTTTTTTTCTGTGAGATCTCTGATAACAATGTCTGGGCAGTTAGTTTTGATTGTTCTGTCTGTGCGTATTGTGTAGTCCCATAAAATTGTAACAGGTTCTATCTCCGTAACCGAGTCTGGGTGGTGTTCATACCACTTTCTTTCACTTTCCTTCCCATAGAAGTTACATATTTTTCAATTATTATTATTATTATTATTTTCTTTGATTTCTGGCGTTTACACATTTATTTCCGGGTCCCGCCCAGGGACCTAAGGTTAGAAATGGCATCATGACACTTTCCACTGACAAAAAAAAAAAAAAATTACATAGATAAAGCCCTTCGTAAAGTGCGGGCTGTACTTGCCAGAACAATTTTGTGTATTTCCTTGAGGCATGAATTTCC